AATAAACTTTTAATATTTAGTTCAAGAAGTTTTTAGTTAATTAATCAATTTTCAATTGATAATTCGGAGCTCTATTACTTTTATATAAATATAGTAGACAATTGTTTATGTTATATATGAGATTATTAAGATAAGAATTATTTTAAGTTAAAATATACCACAATTTTTTAGTAAAACTTCGATTTGACTCCACTTATTTATGAAAACAAAAAGGTTTTGAAATAATCTTTTGCATAAATTTTGGAAAATAATCTGTAAAAAGAGTTAACTATCTTAAATGTTTTAAAAGAAGAACACATAAAAAATCAATTAGTAGAAAAAGAAAATTAAAAAACTGATAAAGAGCCCAAAGACGTTCCGGAATCAAAAGCTTAAGATTAAAATTAAACAATTCAAATAGTCAATGATTTATTAAAAGATGATATTTTATTGAGAATTGAGAATGGGTTCATTTGTCTATAGAATAATAGAGGAAAAATTGATTGGAAAAAATGTAGAGAAAAAATTGCTAATAAAATTCAAGGTATATATGAGTTATTGTTAGTTAAAAACAAATCAAATATACATCAATATATAGTAGAGATATCTTAGTAAAATCGCAAGGAATTTCATTATTTAGATATTAATAATCCTCATCGATTTCGCAAAATAAATTTTTCCTAAGATATCTAATCATATTAATTATATTAAGCATACTTAGATTTGCAGATTAAAGTTTTTATACTTTATTTTAAAGATTAGGTTAAAGTTTTCAGTCTTAAAACAAAGTCGATAATTTTTGAGATTAAAGGGATTTGTGGGATCTTTATTTAAAATAATTTTCTACAGATTAATACTAATTGTACTTAGAATATCATAGTTTTTATAAATAAAAAGTTAGAAAAAATAATTGAAATTGAACATGATACTAAAAATAGTTTTTTTGAGGAAAATAGTTTAAATTCCTATTAAAAAGAAATTAATAAAGAATATCCATTAATATTTTCCAAATAAGATAAAAACGGTGATTAAATAATTTATAAAGTGATATAAAGTTCTTTTTAAAATTATTTAACTGGAGAATCATTAATTTAACCTGTACAACCTGCTTTATATTTTTAATATGCATAGAAAATAAAAATTAATTAATCAGGAATATTGACTTATTTTTTATTTGGTGAACATTAACAAGCTGGCAAGCTAGATTTAGCAATTACTGATTAATTGATAATGGATTATAAGAATCTTTAGGATTTAAAAAACAATGATTTAATTATTCAGGAGCTGTAATAAAATCTAGATAAATACTTAAAATTTATCACTGGTTATGGAACATGCATTTCGATTTTTAAAAATAATCTAGTAATACTTGAGACTATAGCAAAGTTATTGTCATATAAAGAGAAGGAAACCTTACCGATACTTATATGTTAAAATCTTTTAAGCGAAAAATCCCCTTTAGATTTTTCAATTCGAGCAAGCTAGCATAAGATTATATAATTATTTATCTCAATTATTATAAAATATTAAAATCACATAATGTTTAATTCACTGATTGATGAGCATTTATGTGACATTATAAGGAATAAAATAGACTTACAAGAATATTTTGAAAGTAACTTACCATTTTATGAAATTCTTGATCCATCATTTTTAAATTAGCATCAAGATGATACAGAGATTATTACTGGAATAACACTAAGGCATCCAAAAGATGTGCTTCATTAATATAAAGAATTATTTGGTAAATAACTATCTTAAGCAAATTCTTAGAACGATGAATCTATGATATCAGTAGAATATCATATGATAAATTTGCCTGAAACCTTAGCAGGTTCTCCTTTGAAACTAATGGAAGTACTAAGTGAAACATAACTACCAGAATACTTTGAGAATAAAATAATTTAGAGCATTATAAATTTTAAGTGGAAACACACAAAAAGATTTTACCAAATTGATTTCTATATATATCTAGGATTCATGGTTATTTTTCTTTTTGATATATTTTTTCCCACTTAAATAAACTCTGATCGTTAGTTTTAAATCGATTATGATGAAATGGTTTTAGAAAATTAGTAATAGTTGCAGTTCTATCTTAAATTTTTCATTAAATTGTATTGCTCAATGTTAGTATTTTATTTTTTAATTCTTGAGTGCAAATAATTGAGTATCCTAGGGTGGAACCATTTTTATGATGGGTGGAATTATATTGATTTTTTTCACATTGTAGCATATTCAGTATATTGTATTCTTGATTTTACACAAATTGATTTGGATTATCTTATTTTGATAAAGCTACTTGTAATTTTTCTTTCATTTATGAGATTATTATACTTTTTAAGAATTTATAATGACTTTAGCTTTCTTGTTCAAATGCTAATTGGAGTATTTAAAGATCTCAAATATTTCATAATCTTCTTTGCAATGTTTATATCATTATTTGGCATAATGTTCTAAGTAATCTTTAGTGCAGAATAAATAAATGAGTATAATGGAGTGAATAAATTGGCTTATTTTTTAATGATTTTTAGATTGTCAACAAGCGATTTTTAACTTGATGATTTCCATAAACAAGATTAGTTATTGGTAATATTTACTTGGATTATTTGGATAATCGCAGTCTTGATTTTGAATATAGTATTCATGAATTTTATCATTGCTGTTATTTCAGAATCATATGAAAGAGTAATGTAAAAGCTTGTTGCTGAAACATATAAAGTGAAGGCAAGTATGATAGCGGAAAGAGAATAATTTTTTTCAAAAGAAGAACTTAAAAAACCTGAATTCTTCCCTAATTATATAGTTGTTAGAAAAAAAATTAAGAACGATTCATGTGATAATGGTCAATGGCAAGGATTTATTAAAGATTTGAAGTATACTATTAAAACGACATCAACAAAATTAAAAGGAGAAATTATTTAAAACTAGTAATCATAATTTAGAAGGATTGGGAAAGATATTGAGGTTAACTCAAATCTTATTGGTTAGATTGTAGGACTTGGAGAAGAAATTCAAAAATTAAAAGAGCAATTTCAAGTAATGTCAAGCAACACAAAAGCAGTAATTTAGTAATTGAAAGCTGATTAATAAACATATAAAGAAGACGCTTAGAAGAATAATAAATAATTGAAAAGACTTGACTCAAAATCAGAAATTAAATAACTCTAGGGAAATATGATTAGCATTAAAAAGCTATTGGAAGAAGTACTTTAGAAAAAAATTGATCAGTGATGATATATTTTATTTCTAAAGATAAGTTTTAATCATTCAATTCATATAATACCTTCAATATATGGGGGTTTTGGGGTTTTGGGG